CTCTTTCCCTCACATGACACCCATTATGAAGATTAGAAAGTGGAATGCCCACCTTTCAGAAAGAGATAGGCTTAAGGGCTCGAAAAGGCCAGCCCACGAATGAAGGTCCAGAATGGGAGGGGCCACCTGGCACCCACAGTTACAAGCATGCTTCAGCTTTGGGTTCCACCCTGGATTGAAATAATGGAGCAAAGATTCCATGTTGTAATGGAAATGATTTTCCGGGATTAAAAAATTGGAGAAAATGACGTTGTTCAGATTTGGATTCAAACCCAACGGGTAAGAAGGGGACCCACGGTTCACCCACAGTACTCAAAATGATCTTTGAATCCCTCACAATAATTGCTGGTTCTGCCCAAGAAAGGAAAATAGAAATCAGAAAGAAGAGCGAAGAAAAAGAGGGTAACCAAACCAAACTGCTTACTTCTAAACACCAACAAGGGAGCCAAAGAATGTTGAAATCGACCTCAAATCAACTTATCCTGTTGTGCTTCATTCTAATCTTTGGCACTGTCACCGCCACAGACCACATTGTCGGTGCTAACAAAGGCTGGAACCCTGGCATCAACTACACCCTTTGGGCCAACAACCACACCTTCTATGTTGGAGACCTCATCTGTACTCTCTCTCTCTCTCTCTCTCTCTCTTTCTCTAACTATCTGTGTTTGTATTTGTAGTTTTGTACTATTTCATTTTCTTGTTTTTCAGAGAAATGAAGGGAACGGTGGGTTTTCTAAGTTAAACACTACTAAATGATTATGGGTAGCATGAAGTGCAAAACATTGATTTTGGGGTAATACGAAAGTACCCATCTACCCTGAATCTGCTTTCTGATTTGACTAACTTTGTTTGTGAATGTTTATATTGCATCTAGTCTTTGTATTTTGAGGCTGACATAGGCAGAGGGTCCTTGGTCTAATACCATCTTCAACTCTGTCTTTCCTTCCAGCCTTCAGGTATCAAAAGAACCAATACAATGTGTTTGAAGTGAACCAAACTGGGTATGACAACTGCACGACAGAAGGAGCACTAGGAAACTGGAGCAGTGGCAAGGATTTTATACCTCTCAATGAGTCCAAGAGGTACTACTTCATTTGTGGGAATGGCCAGTGCTTCAATGGCATGAAAGTTTCTGTCCTTGTTCATCCACTGCCTTCACCAGCTGCCTCACCCGTTGCCAACCATACATCAAACAGTTCTGCCGCTGCGCAGATAGTTTTGCCTGGGGGCGTGCTCGGCTTGAGGGCTTTGGCTGTGGCATTAGCTTCTATATGGTTTGGATCTGGGTGGATCTAGCAGGAGTTTCAGTTGGTTATCCAAGCTTAGTGAACTGCATTTTTTGTAACCTCTAAAATGTAACATCTCTTCTGCTTGTTTCTCTATCATTTTCTTAATTTATTTAGCCAAATTGGTAGCCTTTCATTGATGAAGTGATCGATTTGAACTCTCACTAATTTGCCTCTTCTCTTGGCTCTTCACTCCAAGCCTGGAAGGCCAGTTCCTTTTATCGATGTGAGCTTGCTCTGACTAATTTGAAGTGCTTGTTGGCCATACCTGTTGGTAAATTTCCTCTACACATAGAATGGTATGGTACAGTGAGGGAGAGGACCGGGTACTCTTAGATTTTTCAATCACCCCTGCAGCCCTTTGGCCAGATTTTTCTCCAATAAGATTGACGTCTAGATTGGTCAAAAGGAAAAGGACTGACACTTAAAAATTTGGTGACTGACCAATTGCATAAATTGCCTAAATCAATCTGTTTAGACGTGCACGCAGGGGCGGAGGCTGGCATTGTTGTGGGGAATTTTTGAAAATTTTTAATTATTATATATATTTTTAATAATTTTCTGACAAAGTTTATTTATGGAAGCTGTGGTCCTTCAAAAATTTTGAAATATTTTATTTATTATATATTTTTAATATTCTTTAAAATATTTTTTATTTAATAATTAATATAAATAATAAATAATAAAATGATTTTGCAAATTCTTATCAAGGTTACTTTAAGTTAAGTTTATTCACACTTCTTTCTCTCTCATTCTTTTCCTCTTTTTTTTTTTTAATTTTTTATTTTACTTTACTCTTTCTTATGTAATTAAATATTTATTTTTTAAAAAAGAGATTTATTATCTTGTGAATTTAAATAAAATAAGTTTTTGTTCTTTATATTATTTAATTATTATGTGAAATTTTATATATCTTATTTAATTATTTAAATTTTATGTATTAATAAGAATAATTAATAATAAAATAATCTTATAAATCTTAATCAAAATTATCCTAATTTAAATTTATTCACACTTCTTTCTCTCTTTCTGTCTTCTCTTTTTCTTCTTTTATTTTACTTTAATCTTGTTTATATAATTAACTACTACAACACATTCGTTCCTTAAACAAAAGATTTATGATTTTGTGAATTTAAATAAAGTAAAGTTTTTATATTTTTTTATTTATATTGTTTAATTATTGTATGAAATTTTATATATTTTTTTTAATTATTTATATTTTATACATTATATTTTATAAATCTATAAAATATTATTGAGTATAATTTATTTTAAGTGTTTTTATTTTTTATTTATATATTATATAAAATTAATTTTTATTATTATTTAAATGTAATATGCTAATTTTTAATTTTTTTTTATTTTTGATCCTCTGAACAAAATTTGACTAATTCTGTTCTTACTGCACGTGAATGTCACATCTCCGGCAAACGTTGCTTTTGATAATAATGCTGACTTCCTTTTAGGGGCATCGGTATCCGATTTGGGACCAGCTACTCGACATTGTGGCCACTGTACATTTGCCCCACTCATCAAACCAAGGCTACGCGAAGTTGAATCCTTGATGGAAAGTTGCAGTAGGGTCGAACCTGACCAAACCATGAAAGCCTTTAGGTTCAGTGGGTTTTTATTTACCTGGAGAATTATGTCCTATTTTTGTGGAATGAATTAGCAGGTAGCTGGAAATGGGAACCTATGACAATGGCCGGCCATTATGAAGGGAGGAGAGACTAGGTTTAAGGATTGCAGCTGAAGTTGGAACTGGGGTTGCATATCAGCTTTGCGAGGTACAGTGAATTGTATCAAACAGAAGACAATTTACACTTCTTGAGCACAGTAGGAAATGACTGGTATCAAAATATATATGTCTGAATTAAATGGAAGGGCCCAAAATTTTCAAACTCCAGGTTAGCACCCCACTCCCATCCAATAGTCATCAAGGCATGAACCATAAGTATATAGCAGAGGAGAGGAGATGTCAAACCCCATCCTCAACGTACAGGAAAAAATATTTAATTCTTGGCCAACTGCTCTAAGACAGATCTATATTAAGCCATTGGGCTGTTCGTGTGATGGCATGTTTGAACCTATTGCTCCGAGTTTAGTGCTCCAAAGCAAATTTAAGATTTAAGAGAAGATAACTTAGGTTTGTCGTTTCTGCTTTAAACTACAACAGGTAACAGATACACTGTCTATTAATATAGTACTGTGTTGGATGAACCACCGGGTTGATGTTCTTCTGGTATTGATGAGGTTTTGTCAGAAAAGAAGGGGAAAGAAGATAGATGGGAGCAGGCAATATTTGCCCTTGCGTCAAGCATGTGTTTTCCTTGCCTTGAGACCCGAACCCGTTCTTCCTTCACAAAGACAAAGAAAAAACAACATACTCTTGATAACTACATTTCATCCACCCAAAAGAACCAAAACAGTAACAGCATAATTTTCAAATACAATACATGACTGAATTGCAATTTGTTTTGGTCTAGCAAATAGCCAAAAGGCCATGGTAGTGACTAATCACATTTTACCTCTAAAGAAAAAGGAAGTTTTGAACTCCTCATTCCCAAGTCCCAACCTCTCCAAATCCTTTATAAAGCTAAGGTGATTGACATGAAATGCAACGAGTTTATCTCTTATCCTACACACAAAAAAGAAAGGACAAAGATAAAGTACTCCTGTTTACTGTTAACACTGTTACCATGTGTGTCTACTCTACCTGGTAGCCATGGTAGTCCCCAAGGTTCAATGATTTATGGTGATTAGCTTTAGGCCGTGGTCATGATTATAGGAAACTGACTTGTGCGGTACCAAGACAGCAAACAGAAACCAAAAATTACAGCAGCAATCATGTGTGTCTCAAAGGAACTTAAAACGAGTGGTGAATTGAAACTACCCGAAGTAAAATGTGTTTAAGGCTGGTGGACCAACACAATTAAATATGGTATTCCACAAGTAGAAGCTTTTCCATTAATGCACCAAAATATTCAACCCCAAAATTCAAGGGCAGTGTCTTTGTCCTTATTATAGTGAGAGCTTGTTCCCTGGGAAAGCATTAAATGTGGAGTCTGAATCTTTCGTTCTTGTTCTTTGATTGTGTAACCAGCTGGATGTAATCTGTTACACTTTTGTTATCTAGTGAAGAGAGTGTTGTTTAATGGAATTTAACCATTACGGGTAAAAGTTTTGCACCGAAATGCTTTTTGAAAAATATGCACCAACAATAGCGAAAGCTGCAGAATGTAGCAGAGAGGAGAGGGACAGTACATGAGTAGCTTGCAGAAAAACAAGACCCCATGCTTCCAGTTTTCAAACTATGCCACAGGCTGTGAAACAGGTTATGTATTCACAACAAACAAAAGAAATGAATGTTTGCTGCAAGATTCTAAGACAAATTCACAACTACTACCTAGAAAAACTATCAAATTATAGAAGATTGAGAAAATGGATTCCAGATTCAGGTGCAAAAACTTCAGATAATATTAACTAAATTAACGGACTCCGTTTCATGTCTCTCTTTCATGTATGTGACTGAAGAGGTATACCATTCTCCTACCAAATCAAGCTACAATTACATCATTAGATTTTCATAACTGGCTAAAGCTGCATATGGGACTTACCGGATATTGAGTAGATATACAGAATTTGCGAAATACATATAGGAAACACAGACCATCAAAGCTTGAGAGAGATATTGGAAAGATATCGAACTTCAATTAAGTGATCGACATCAAGTTAGTAGAAAAGAAAGTGCAAATCATTCATATAATATACAAACAACATAATCATCGTGATACACACCTTCAGTCCCCCATATACATTTTGAAGAACAGCTTCCAATCATCTCTGCTATATTACACTCAACAGTCACCAAACCCCCCCAATTTGACAGCAGAAACAGAAGCAAAATTGAAAGGATTACCAAAAACTACTCTGCATTTGCCTTCTGTTTTCTCCTTGATCTGTTGTATAATTTAGATGGTGGAGATGGAGAAAACTCAAACGGGATTGGCGGGAGATCCATCTCCCCTTTCAGGATCCTTACAATCTCCCCAATGTCTGGCCGCAACTCAGGCATTTTCTGCAGGCAACTAAGTGCCAAATTTATGCACAAGCTTGCCTGCTCCTTACTGTACTCATCTTTCAATCTCTCATCTACCAGTTCTAATACGTTTCCAGATTGAGCTAATTGCCTACACCAGCTTATTAAGTTTGCCTTTTCAAGCCTCATAGGTGAAGCAAGAACATGCAATGGCCTTCTACCAGACACAATCACAAGGATCAAAACTCCTAAACTGTAAATGTCAGCCTTCTCCATCAAGTAGCCACAGCCATTATACTCTGGCGCAACATAACACAAAGTCCCCCTCATGCTTGTTGTGCTGCTTAGCTCACGACTAAAAAGATCCCCACTCCACATGTCACTTCCAACAGAATTGTTGTTCTTTCTCCTCCATCCCCTTCTAAAACTGAACTCTCCATTTGCATCACAGGCATCTTGATTTGGTTCCCCAAACTTCTTTCTCCTGTGAAAATAAAACCGCCTTCCCAGATCAAAATGTGGCATTTTAAATCCTTTCTTCCACTTTGTCTTAAGCTGCTTCAGCTTACTATCCTTCTTGCTTATCTCACCTAAATGCTCGTCTTTCCACCATTCTTGCATCTTCCTATGTTTCTTTTTCCGATTTTTCCTTCCTTTTGGTTCTTTCTTCTCAAAACCCTTTTCCAAGGCTTCAAAGCCAAGTCCTTGTACCTGGGATTCATTAACATCGTCCAACTTCTCCAACTGAGTTGAATTGTCCAACTCAATTTTTTCAGGAGTGGCCTGTTTCTCATCATCCCAATCAGGATTTGAAGGACATATCTGACTCCCTATCCACTCCATAACGTAATCTTTACTACACAATTCACCACTCCCGTCCTGCCTCCACCACCAATCCTTCCCCCATTGTTTTGTATTTGCTGCCACATCAACACCCAAACTAGCACTAGAATTCAACTCTTTACTATGATCAATGCTACCAAACTCATCATCATAAGGCACAAACTTAGTGTTCCAATCATCACCAGCAATATCCACATCAGTAACCTCCTTCCCTTTTCCATTGTTCCCAACTTTACAATCACTGTCACTAGCTATGTTAGCATTGTAATTGAAAGAATTTAAATTCAGAGCCTTAACATTATAACATTTTTTACTATTTTTTGAAGAAGAAGAAGCTTGCAAGGCAAGTGCAAAGTCTACCTCATTGTTGTTACTATCCACAGGAGTCCCAATTGCTGGAGTCTGTTCACCAGTAGTTCCTCCCAAATTCCCAGGTAACTCTTGGCTCTTCCATAGCTCTTGACTCCTTCCCAAATCTTGACTAAACAAATCCACTCCGAACTCACCCTCCACTTTAATTCTGGACAATCCAAAATCTGAAATCTTTGCTCTAAAATCAGAATCAAGCAACACATTACTAGGCTTAATATCTCCATGTATCACTGGTGGATCACAACCGAAGTGAAGAAATTCAAGAGCTTTAGCAACATCAACGATAACATCAAACCTTCTTTGCCAATTCAAGCTCAACTGACCGTCTCCAAAAAGTGATTCTTGCAAGCTTTTATTTGGCATATACTCGTAAACAAGCAAACGCTTATTTTTTTCAACACAATACCCCAGAAGGGTAACCAAAAAAGATGATCTTAAACCACCAAGAATCTGCAACTCATTTTGAAACTCTCTCTCAGTTTGCAAAGATACAGTATCAAGCCTTTTGATGGCAAACAGTTTACCATCTCTGACAATGCCACGGAAGACAGTACCTGAACCACCTTTTCCTATGATATTCGCATCATCAAAATCATTGGTAGCATTCTTTAACTCTTTGTAACAAAACCTTTGGAGCTTAAGAGGAGCACTAGAGTCAAAAGGGATGGTTTTAGCTCGGTTTGAAAGAGAGTTCCAAAGATGGTAAAGAAAGTAAATTATTGTAAACAGAATAACCACTGAAGATGAGATTGTTAGGATCAGGAATATGACTCTTGTTTTGCTGATGAAACTTGGTCTTGGTAGGTTTGGACCTGGAGGCAAAGGCCTTGAAGGCATGGTGTTTTTTCTTCTTGTTTCAGTTTCTGGGTATCTCAGTTTTTCTTGGTTTGGTTACTGGATTATGGTGAAGTGAAGAAAAAAAAAAGAGTTGGAAATGGGGTTCCGTTTTTCCTTCCTTGTTTTCTTAATGTGTATTCTTTTTGTATTTTTCTTCCAAGTGTTCATGTCACTGCTACCTGTATCCAATGTGAGGTTGCTTTACAGTTGGATAATGAGAAGAAAATCTGATAATGTGAGCCTTTGATAATATATTTTAATGGGATTTCCCTGTTTACAGCGGTAGTGATTAGGCAAATGAGGATTATGAAAAGGAACAAAGGAGGGTCCCCGAGGCGCCTTCGAGCTTTGACTGAAGAGGAAGTTTTATGCAGACAAAAGTCATATCTAAGGAATAAAAAAAAAAATACAGATAAAAGAAAATGGAGGGAGTGTGTTTTCCTTCACGCGCCACATTTAGCGCGTGCACCACTTTAACTAAGCAAATTCTATCACTCATCCTCTGCTTCTTCGCGGGGATGAGTTATCTTTTTGGAAAATGGTTTTTTTTAAAATTTTACTATTTTTTTATTTTGATGATAATGTAAAAAAAATGATTTTTTTGTTGTTCTTTGAATGGCTTTATAAAAAATATTTTCTTAAAAAAAATTAGTATCATTTTTAAGTAAATCTAATATTAATAATGTAAAAATCACGTTTAAACTTTAGAAATTATTTTTGAAAGGATTATTTATATATAATGTTAATTAAATGTGAGCATAAGTCACGGGGCTAAATCTAATAGACATTTCTACAAAATAAGTTTAACGTTTAGGTTCGACCCGTCAAGTCCGTCTACTTAATTTTCACTCACTAATTTTATAATTATTTTAAACATATTTAAGTCATGGCCTAGTCGGACTAAGTCACGACTAGTGACAGGTCTAGCTCGAAGGTTGCTTTGCACTTTACAGCAGACTTAAGTGTTCAGTTTGGCACTGGGTGTAACCAATGATAGTCTTTTGAAGCAGTGAAATATAAAAATACCAGTAATTTTCCAACTTACTAGCATAAACAATGATAATTTATAAGTTAGTCACTAGCTTAAGCAAATAAGCATTCAACTTTGAATGATTTATAATTGGAGGATCAAAGTTTTAAAACATTATTGTTGTTAATATCATTAGTCAATTGGGTTCTTATCAAGTTGTTGGTATAAGTTGAAAGGTTTCTATTATTTTGATAATCATTGAAATGTTGAAAAGATGTAAATGGATTGGGATTTAATCAATACTCTTAATTGCTCATCTATATGCTATTTTAAGTATAAATACAATAATGTTTCTTTCACTCAAAAATTTATTTTAAATTTCAAAAAAAAAATAATGATAATATTATTTTTATATATTAATTAAGAGATATTTGATATCTTACAATATAATATGATTATAAGAATCTGATTATTAAAAAGATAATATTGTAAGTTTAATGTATATAAAAGATGTTGATTAAAATAATATAGATATTTCTGTTCTAACTAAAGTGATGAAGTGAGATAGATAGTGGAAATGCTATCGTCTTGGGTAAGTGTATATTGAAGTTAGACCACCTATCTCTCTCATCTCCACGATATCAACATTGGGTCAAGATTAAGTCTAACTCTTCCCCACCTTCTCTTAAGATTATGATTTGATGAATAGAGTTTAACTCCATCGGCAATGAACTAACATTGTGATGATGTTGCTGTCAATACCCTAGTTTTAAACCAATTTTCAACACAATAAGCATGCATCACAAAGAATTGTTTACATGTGTAACTTATAGAAGTAGCAAAAACTAACTTGTTAGTTAGGGAAAGCAGCAAGATGTTATGTTGGAATGTCATTTTCCTGTTATACTTGGTAAATAATTAAAGATATACAGTTGTTTTCTTTCCATCAAGATGTAACCATTCTAACTATATTTGAATCCAAATGGAATATCACCAAAGGTCATGATGATTAGACAAACAATGTTTCACCCCAACTATACTGTTGTATTTTGTTCATAAAACGTTTTTTATTGTGTGGAATGATTGACTTTGGACCTTTTGTTTTTCAAAAGGTGATAACATGAAAAGCCTTCTTTTATGGTTGATCCCATTCACTACCCGTTTCTCTTATCTCGATTAATTCCATCTTTTAGGTATACTTATTATTGAGTCGAATACTATACTTGAATGTGAAAAGATTTGAGTTTTAAGTATATATGCTCACTTGAAAGAGAAAGTCACCTACTATACTAAACCAAAAATTTCATGCATTTTGAATTGTTAAGGGTTCATCTATTTTCAAACTTTAGATAGATGGAGCTTGGGTCTACGCTGGGGCCATTAAAATACTCTCACAGAGAGTCAGTGGCCATATCCACCGCAAGTCGTAAACCAGATTTGCGATGTCGTTTCTGTCGTCTCTTTCTTCTTATTTTAGAAGTGTATACATCTTTTCCTTTACACTTTACACGCCTAACGAGGAAATGGCTGTAATTGTCAACAGAGAGAAGAAAGGGAAAGGCAAATTTTGGCTTGCAAAAAAATGGTTATGGGTGGAATGTTGCTATTGTGATAATGGTGTCTAGTGCACATTCAACTTTTGCTGCTTTTGTGCGTGTGTGCTTAGGCAGGTTGTGAAACACTGAACATGGATGGTGCTTATGCTTTGTGGGGTCTTTTGTTTTACCAAAAGGTGGGGTGGGTGGGGATGTTGGAGTAATTAGCCCTTTGGGATATTTGAACAGGGATAAAAGGGGAGGTAACATTTGAGTATTTGAGAATGAAGGCTTTGGATACTCTTTCCCTTTTCCTCTCTCAAGTCCTGACCAATTGATGTCTTTGAAATTTACTTTCTTTACTTTACAAGTTGTGGGCTTTTTCCTTTCTTACCGTCTGTCTTCGGGAGGCACCACTAATATATGGTTTTGTAAGGATGCATGCTATTGGAAGGCACTGCACTCTATAAAATGTAAATTAAGATACATGAGGTTAATATAAGATAAAGGAGAGACATTTCTATTCATATAACTAATTGAAAAGTTAAAACCTTGGGTGTTCCCATGTTTTGACACTTCTCCTAATGAAAACTACCAACACTTTGATTGAGTGATTGTTTCTCAACCCCAAGCATTTTAGCGTGTGATTGCTTTAGCTAGTGTTTGGTTTAAGTTTTTGAAATTAGATATGGATGTTTGGAAAGAGATCGATTTGATTCGGTACTTATATTTTTCTCATAGTCAATGTCATTTTTCGCTTGCCTCATGAAACTTCATGAACGATTCTTAACTCTAAATACGATTTCATTCTTTAAGTTTTTGAAATATATATACATATGCAAACATGAACATAAAATGATCAAGATACATTGATATTGAACTTTCAAAGGATACGGAAGAAAGGTTACAAGAGAGGGGTAGGGTAAATTATAAAAAGAAATGGGCATAAAGTTTGAAGCATGTATAAACAAAATGTACGAGGGGAAAAGTTTGGATGAATCATCAGAGAACCATACATGACAAATGTCTGGTTTGAAGGATAAGATCCATACACGAAACTTCCAAGGAATGATAAAAAGAGTATTTAGATGGAGCCCATTTTGAGGGGTTCTTCTTTTCCGCAGCTACAGTTTGATGTTTGCTTGTGAAATAATTACAAGTGAATGCTACATGTCCTATTTATTGATGCAGCACTAGCTTCCCCATGTCTGGACAAAACAATACCATGTAATCTGTGGGAGAAAATTTTAAGAAACTTGACATCAGGAGACAGCCCCTATTGAGGATAAGTTTTCTCCTGAATTGATAACAACATTTCACAATATTGAACCATTATTGCCTAAAATCATTGCAAAAGATTAGGGCCTTTTTTCTTTTTGTGTTTTTAATTTTTAGAATCATTATCCTAACTCTTTTGCCTGTTTTTAAGTATTGAACCTTATAATCATTTCGTTTGTTATGAAATTAGTTTAAAAAACAATAAAGATAAGATCTAAATAAATAAAAAAAATATAAAAATTTACGTGATTTAACATTTTACGTACTTCCACGTATTAAGGAACAATAAAAATCTCTATAAATGGTTTTCCAAATCATCTCTCAATAATTTCATAAGAATGCTCATTCATACCATCTTTAACTCTGTTTAGAGCAAAACGTAGGGTTACAAGGTGTTTTCTCTTCCAAAGACACTACTCACTTGAGCCATTTTATAATACCAAAATTCAAAATAAGATGAAATTATGACTTAATAATATAAAACAAAAAGTTTAAAACTCAACATTATACGTAGATAAAAATTCTAATCAAATAAGATTTAAAATTTCATATATATTAGATTAATTTCGTGATTACGAAAATAAGAAGAGTAAATACATGTACCAAATAGTATGATTCCATTTAAGTGACACGAGCAACGTTTGCAAAAGCTAGAAGGACTCTTTTTGAAGCAAAAATTGGAGAAAGGAGATGGGGCATAACTTTTGACTAAAGGTGTTGGTAGCAGCATTGCCTTGCCATGTGGGAATGATATTATTTGAGTGGTGGCTCGTGCAAATCAATTCAAAAAAAATACTCATAGGCATGTAGAATCTCTTTGTTTTCATTTTCCGCCCCTCGTGGGGAGGACAACTGTTGCCTTATCTACGCCACAGACCCAACTACCACACATCACTTATCTATCAACTCATGTATGGGCAAATCTATATAACACAATTAGAGCGGACCCATCTACCATGGGACACAATGTATTATATGTATAAAGGGGTTCAAGAGAGATAGTATTTCAATTTTCTACCAGTCAAGTCAAATTTAGTTTAGGTGTTGTTACCATCTCCTTTAAAACAAATAAGATTAGATTGTGGAATAATGCCTTTTAAGAAAAATTTAAATTATTTAAAAAAATTTAAATAAATTTTTATTTTTTATTATATTTAATTAAATCTTTATATTTTTATTTTGATTCAAATAAATCTTTATGATTATAATTAGTCTTTTTATGTCACATGGTGATGATATGACACTGATATAAAATTAACATGATGTTGACATCAAGACTAATTTAGAAATTTTTCTGAGTGGTGTCATTACTAATAATTAAAATGTTTTTCCTCAATCCAATCTGTCTGAAGAATACTTAGACCAAATTTAGCACGACTTTGCTTGGAGGATTTTT